ACCTCTTTGCCTTTTGGCTGCGTGCAAGTGGGTCCTTGTGACACACGGGGATGGGGGCAGCCAGCGCTCAACCTGTCATCCACGTGGCTGGCCTTGTACGTAAGAGGTTATGAACAGGTGGAGCTTTCCTTACCTCCTCCCCTTCCCCCTTTTTTCCTTTTCCTTTTTTCTTTCCCCTTTTTTGCGCTCTGATTCACAATGTGACAATATATATATCTGTTTGTGACGATAGCTGCCAATTGTGGGGCTAGGGTAGCAGCACAGGATTGTCATGCTGTCGGACGAAGGTACGCAGCAATATACTCATCAATACCAACAGCCAATGCTCCAAGTATATCTCCCACTACCCCATTCAGCCGATATTTTGAGCCCTCATAGAATAGGCGACGAAGGTTAGCATCCGGAATCAGATCATAGTTGGCGGAAACAACATGGCCGTCAACCAGATCGGTGCAGTTAGGAAACGCCCGACGACAAGGGCAATCAGCAGCAGCAGGTAGGCACAGGTCCGGAGTGACACTCAAGGCCACTTCCGTAAAATTACAGAATTGTACCCTTGTTGGGGGCACGAGTTTGTCACAGATGCGAATGCTGCTAGCTGCCTGGGGGTCGGGGTGTAATGCACACACATCCGGAGAATGCAACACATGGCGCAACGTAGTAGCCTTCAGGATCTCATGCATATGCACAATTCTGATGAAGTTTCCGAAGGTGTCACGGGAATGAGCAGTATATCGTTGTCGGGCGTGTTGAAATCGCCGAATAAGRCATTCAAGTTCACGGACGTCCGCAGTCATGTCTGCATTAGAAACATTTATATACAGCCATTGCAGATATATATGTTTTTGGGAAAAGCGAGGAGTCCATTATCATGCAACAACCATGAGGCCGGGAATTCCTCACAAACAACCCGGAAATGAAAACATGCACCACTGGGACCATTACCCAGGATAGGTTGTGGGTTTCACCCCAACGACACTTGGCAGAGCCAACTAACAAACAGGAAAAAGCCTAAAGGAAGAATAAAAGACAACCTGGTGACTCAGGCTGTCGAAGCAACCATAATAAAACTTACCTAAAAAGGCCAGCATTCAACCAAGCCTTGGGAGGCCTACTCTGCCTAGGAACAAACAGTAAATAAAACAAGCACAAAATTCAACACACAGTATCACCCTGGCATGGTTTCCCAGCCGGGAAGGAAAACATACCAAACAAAAATCGCAAAAACAGCCGGGAAGGAAAACATACCAAACAAAAATCGCAAAATTCAACACACAGTATCTCCTATACTAGTCTAGCAATCTCACAAGGGTAACTCCCCTCCAATTCTCTGCCTATATCGGCAGAGTGGACCCTACGGTCCACCTACTCCTGGACACTCTCTGTACCCCCATGTCCCTCTTGCCTCCTACTGCGGGTACTATAACCGAGTGTTCTGGTTATCTCCTAAGTTCCCCTCAATACTCCTCCCCTCTTACCCAATCCTGCTCCTACCTAACTACTATGTTACCCCGAGAGCCAATCTGCGAACTTCAGCGTGTTGTTATCTTCGATCATTACCACCGTTCCATTTCTCGCCCAAGTTCTGTCGCACCAGCATCTTCCTTTGTGCTTATTGCACACAGTTGACACCTTTCTGCGCCAGTCTGCCAAGATGGCAGCTTTGATTTGGCTCTTGAACTGGGAAATTAGGACCTTATCTACCGTTTCCTCCTTGTCAAAGACTTGCTTGTTACGGCCCTGCCAGATGGCTGCAAATCCAACTGCTCTGCAGACCTGGGCCACGTAGCCCCATCCCTCCTCTAACTTGAACTCATTTGGCACGCTTCCCAGCAGAACCCAGTTCCTGTCCCAAGGGAAGGCTCTGTTGGAGATACTGTCCCAGCGAGTTGCCCGCCACTTCCAAATTCGGGCTGAAGCTGGGCAGTCCCACCATAAATGAATGGTGGATTCAAAAGCCCACTGACACCTACTGCATGTCGTGTCCACTCTCAAACCTTTTTCAGACAGCCACACTGACGAGGGGGTTGCCAACATTGATAACAACCACAGAGTTACTGCTAGTCTTTGATTAGGGATCAGATTCAGCTGTTGCCAGCATCGCCGTAAGGCTCGAATGATTGTTTCAATATCCGCATGAATCACTCTGACCCATCTTTCTGACGACACCCTGATGGGGGGGCGTTCAGATGACTGTAGTTGATATCCCAGCTCCTCTGTGTATTCCACCACAGGTAGGTTTTCCCCATGCTTGCCTCGCCCTCGCCAACTCCATCCAACTGGGTCGACCCTGCAGCTGCTAATTGGTTTACCATCCATCCTCAAAGTCGCTGACCAGGTACCGTCTTCCGTATAGAATTCTTTTGTTCTAATTTGTAAGAGCACTGCCGGAGGGCGTGGAACTTGTGACTCTTCGGTAAGGCAGATGCTTAGGCTTGACGAATTTGACTCTGATCTCCTCCAGCATTCAAAGGTGCGGCTGCCATCCTGGTTAAGCTGGGTTAGCTTCCAAAACTTGTCCTCAGCGCCCTGACCATCACAATACCAAGTGCCAGGCGGGTCTACACCTTCCGGAGCGAGGATCAGCGTCCATGCATTGGGGATGGCATTGATGACCGACTCCAACTTGTCCTCCTGTCTTCTCAGGCTACCTAGCTTCTGTCTGAGTTCCCCTGGCAGTATCCAGCCCCTCTGAACTCATCCCAGATGTCTCTCACTCTAACCACTCCCTTCTCAATCCACATTCTCCCGAAGCTCCCTGGTGATCTGTCTGCTGAGAAAACCAGCCCTTCCTTATCCATTATCTTCCAGTTCTCAAACAGGATTTGATCAAGCACCTTCTGTTTGGTCTTTGGCTCCTCCCTGAGCTCAGGCTTGACTTTCTGCCACGCCTTCAAAAAACCTGCCCATAATTCTGAAAGTACTGGTCTTCTTAGATAGGCTTCTAACCAGACACAAGCCCAGACGTCTGCTTTCCTTGAGAGATTCCAGCTTTTTGCCAACAAAGATTCCGCCATGAACAACCAATGTTCCTCCTTGTTCGTCGTCATAGCTTTGATGACCCAGTTTGCAAGCATTGAATTGTTCTGTTTTCCTGTGTCCCTCAGACCCAGACCTCCCTCCTGACGTTTGCAGCAAATCGTATCCCATGCCACCTTCAACAGGAATCCTTGATTGTCCGTGCTGTTTGGTTTCCACAAGAATCTGGCCGATCTCCTTTTGACTACGGTCTTTACTTTCCTCCCAAAGGGTCTGACTTTCCCCACGTACCACAGGAGAGCGAAGAGTGCTGCATTAATAACTAAGGCCCGACCCATCAAAGACAGGTGAGGCGCCTTCCCCCAAGTGGTAACCCTGTGCAACACTTTCTGCTGTAGGAGGTCGTCCTGATCTGCTGTGCACGATAACAGGGCCACTTGGACCCCGAGAAAGCGTTCTGACTGATTATCTTCCACTCGTTGCATTCCCCATTGTACTTTTAGGGCGAAGGAACTGGGCAATAGATAAACAGATTTAGACCAATTGATTGCTGCTTCCGAAAGATTCTCGTACTCTCTCAGACAGGCTCTCAAGGCATTAAGACCGGAGTCTGAGTTTTGCACGACAGCAAACAGATCATCGACTAACGCCTTGACACGACAGTCCCTATCTCCTGCCGGAATACCTAAGATGTCCTCATGGCTACGGATATTACACAAGACAGTCTCCAGCTGCACTACGAATAGGAGCGGGGCCAGTGGGCATCCCTGCCGCAGCGACCTTGAGAGTTTGAAGGTTTTAGAGAGATGGCCATTAATCATTACCGCCGCGGTTGACTGTGAGTACATCATAACCACCCACCGACAAAAATTTTCCCCAAATCCTACCCATTTGAGCGTGGTCATGACGTATGACCAGTGAACTCGGTCGTATGCCTTCTCCATGTCCAATAGGAGAATGGCAACGTCCAGGTTGTTCTCCTGCACCAGTTCCATTGCCTCAATCGCCGTCACAATATTCGTGAAGATAGATCTGCCTCTGACGAATGCAGCTTGGTCCAGGTCTGGTAGGTACCTTGCAACTCTTCTTGCCAGGATCTTCGCTAGAATCTTGTAGGCTACGTTTAGGAGGGAGATCGGCCTCCAGTTTCAAATTTCGCTCTTATCTCCTTTCTTGAACAAGACTGCAGGCGCTCGTTGGCAGTTGCCCCTCCATCAAGATTTCGTTGTAGATCTCCACCAGGTCGTTTCCGAATGTTGACCAGAAGGTGGCATAAAATTCCACCGGGAGGCCATCATCGCCAGGGGCTTTCCCTTTTGCCATTGTGCTCAGAGTGGCTAGTTCTTCCTCCATCGTAATTGGCCTATCGAGGTCCAGGCGTCCATGTGGCGGTAATCGTGCCGACAAATTGTGACAGTGGTCAGAGCCTTCCACTAAATTGGAGTCCACTCCCTCTCCTATCCTTCTGGATGTGAGTATGTCCTTATAGTAACAGGCTGCATAGTCACAGAGCTCCGCAGGCTTCCTAGCCCTGGGTTCTGTATCACCAAAGGGATGAGCCAGCTCCTGCATTAGCTGCGCTGATCTTCTGGGTAGAAGCCGCTGGAACGATTCCTTTGACATCCTATCATAGACCACGATGCCCTTCACTTTTAGGCGCTCAGACCAGATTTCTGCCCTTTCCTGCTGTCTGCATTTCCATTCTTCGAGTCTTTCGGCCCTCTCTTTTCCCCACGTTAAAGCTGAAATCGGGTGAGCCCTCATTCTCTCCTGTGCGTACTCCACTCTTCTTTGGTAACGTCTGTCCTGCTTATTCCTCTCAAATGCAAGCACTCTGGAGAAGACACTCAAGAGCTTCGATATCATCTTTGAGCCCACCTCCCACCAGTCCGCCAGCGAGGCAAACCGCTCCTTTCTGGCTGACCATCTAACCCAAAAGTTCTCTACCCATTGTTTCAGTTTGGGATCAGCGAGCAACTCAGTGTTCAGACGGAAGTACCCCTTGCCTAGTTCCTGTGGTTCTCCTAGTTGGAGTTCTGCTGTGATTGGACTGTGTTCCGAAAGGGGGTGCTGAGAATAACTTATTCTAGACAAGGCAGCTAGACCTGCTTCGCATACCAAGAAGTAATCTAGTCGTCTCCCTTTTCCTTCAAGAGTAAACCATGTGAACCCATCGTCCAGTGGGTGCATAAGTCTAAAGGGGTCAGTGAGCTGGAAGTCTGTCATGAAATCTATTACCGGGATACTCGCTGTAGCTGAGCTTCTACTCCGTGCCCTGTCATCATCCACTGACTGGTTCCAATCCCCTACCATAATGTTGTCCACGTTAGGTAGGTTGTAAGGGAGGTCCCTCATAAATATCTCGCGTTCCTTCCTTTTTACAGGGACATACACAATAGCAATGGCCCAGTCCACCTGTTCCACCTTCATCTTTACCCACGCCCAACGGCCCCATAGATCGGCATAGTGATCAACTATTTCCACCTTTAAATCTCTATGAATCAACAGAGCCATTCCACCACTGGACCCTTTGGCCGGAGACCACACCTGTGGACCATCCCACCAACTGCCCAAACCCCTTATCTTATGTTCATTCAATTTTGTCTCCTGTATGCAGGTTATACCGACGTGATTCCCATGGATCCACTGCTTTAACCTCGAATTTTTCCCTTTCCTTGCTGTGTCGCCTAGACCACACACTTTCCACGAAGCTATCGTGAGTCTAACCATTTATTCTTACCCCTCCTGTAGACTGGATATGGGACAATTTATCGGCACGTTGGTTGCTCTCCTTGCTGACCTCCCAAGGTTGGGTGAGGGCTTCTCGGACGAACTGTGAATCCAGTCTCGTGTCCTTGTGAAACCTGATCTTCAGTTCCGTTAGGCATTCCGCAGATAGTCTGGGCGCCAACATCAGTCTACTCAGCTCCTGCTTCCTGCCTTCAGCAAACCAGGACATGGGTACAAGTCTCATCCCATTCCTTTCCAATCGGTCCATTGCGTCTTCAGCCAACTTGGCATCCACTAAAGGGATGAACAATTTCACCTTCTGTCCATCCACCTCTGTGATGATCCGGGCCATTGGGCAGTCTGGAATCGTCCTCAGGGGGAAGGAGTTAACAAACAGAGTGCCAAGCACCTGAGAGATCAGCTGAACTGTCGGGGCATCTGCCACTTGGTGAGACAGCAGCGTAAGTGGCGACGTAGTGGTGTGCCAAGCTATCACCCAAAAGCTGTTCCTTGTACACAGGCATGAGGATCTGCTCCACTCCCGACGATTGACCCTTCAATAGTGAGGCGAGACACCTGTCTCTTGTTGTTTTCTTTCCCGGAGTGACTAATATCGTACTGTCTCGAGGAGAGTGCACCGACGAGCCCTCTGAAGCCTCTGTCCTGAGCTCTTTAGCAGAGCTCACACTGAGCCTCCGTTGTTTACCGGCTTGTCTGGCTTGTTGATGTGTCCCTTCTGCTGCTCCAAATGACGGGGCTGGTTGGTTCTCATGCCTTGACGCGCTTGCTGAAGCACCCCTTCGCGAGTCTCTTGAATCTGCCATGACTTCGTGGCCAAGACCCACCGGTTGAGTCGGATATGATCCTTGATGAGTTCCGGCATTCAGTCTGGTAGAACCTCCAGGCCGTGGGCTCTGATTGCCGATTCCCGCCGCCCTATACATAGGGTTAGGCTGGTACGCTTGAAACGCAGACTGGGCTGTCATGTGCTGCATGGGCGAGGGGATGCCTCCTACGTAGGGCGGGATCCCCAGGCCCCCGTTCACGAACGGCTGCCCTTGGTTGCTCCAACTTGGGATACTCCCTGTGATTGGACTTTGCGTTCCGGGCTGTGCACTTCCGAAGAGAGCCGCCGCCATCTGCATCATGTTCGCGAATGAGTTGCTTGCTTGGAGATGGCCGCCATTGCAGAGAAGCCCGCTGGCGCCTCGGTCGGTCCCGCCGCCTGTGAAGGTTGAGGGCTAAGTGGGCCATGATATTGCTGTCTTCGGCCACTTCTTTGACCGGACAAAGATTGTGCTTGCGATTGTTGTTGCACGTCAAAATTAAATCCAGAGGCCTCTCCTCTCTGCTGAGGTCTGTTTCCCCTTCTGCATTCCGCGTCCAAGTGGAAGAATTGCCTACACCGTCCGCACTTGAGTGTCGTGAAGCAGGCCAATTTGATCTCTAGTTCATCACCTTTGAACGTAACAATCCACAGCTTGTCCTTCATCTTCACACGCGCCTCTGGAACGATGTCAAACTTTGCGTTGACTAGAGCAGGTCTTGACGGGTCAGCATCCGGTGGATGAGCCATAACGATCTTGCCAATGGCTCGTTCAATTTGAGGATAGAGGAACGACATGTCGTCCAGTGGAACTTGAACGGCAATAACCCAGAAAGTTCTATCGTCCTCCTGCCGCCTCAATTCCCTGAACTCCGCTCTCGTCATCCAAGGCTTGAACTGGACAGTGTATCTGTCCGTTCCTACCGTCCACCATGAATTCGGCAATCTCTCTTGATCTGCACATGTATGACAACGCGTTTGGGCCTTCCACTTTCACCCGACCCCTTCTGGACTCCGAGGGGAATCTCTCGCCCCCCAAGATCCAACTGTCCTCAAAGGCACGTATCGTGTCGTCTTTGACCTTTTTTGGTAGGAATCTCGCATTTTCCTTAAAAATAACGAAGACGGTCCTCTCTTTAAGTCACTTAACCTTAATTTCGTCTAGAGACGTTTTTAAGGTGAACTTAACCTCTCTCCCCAGAACTTCCATCTCGCCTGGATCCAAGTCTGTTGGATAAACGCCATCCTCAAAGCATAGCGCCAGGAGAGATCTTATCCTATCTTCATCCTCCCATTAATCCACCGGGTCCGATGGACCTGGAGGTGGAGAGCGAGGTTCCATTCTAGCCCCACCAGCTGCGTTAGATCTTGGCGCTGCACTTGCTTCCGGACCAGCTCCTCTGCCATCTTCTACCTCCATTCCTCTGTTCCTATAATACTCGTCCAGGTTTGCTTCGAAAGGCTTCCTTAGCGTTTGTCTTTACTCCCAAATATCTTAAGACCCTACTATACGAGCTCCTTTGCGATTGCTATTTCACCACCTTCTCTCGACTACTTAAAACGCTCTTTCACCCCGTATCTTCGCATAAGCTTCCGTCATTGCGTTGGCGCTGGCGGCGGTCTCACCGACATACAGCTTGTAAAACTTCCGTCCTCCATAGCTGCTTCGAACCGTACTCAGGGAAGAGTCGGAGTTCCCGAGGCGCTATCTCGCTGGTAGCGTCTTGGGTGACCGTAGGGCCGTAGGCAGACCCGGTAACGCAGGGCAGAGTGCTTAGCGCCGGCCGCAGCGTTCCGTCGCAGCGCCCCACTCGCCAAATATTGTTCCCCGAGCCATGTATATCATCTCGTCATCATTCCTTTTGCGAGAAAATAAACAAAACAGAAAAAAAAAAAAATCATCATCGGAAAATCTGCAAGCTCAGTTCCTTTGAAGACATGCTGTAAGAACTGTTATGTGCCTGATTGAAAACGAATCCAGCATAGCATACACATGTTCCCATACACATGCGAAATTGCAAGTAGACTTGGAGAGAGAAAATCCACACCAAACCGGATGATGAAATTGCACAGCGGAAGCACACAAACACCAAAAATAGAATTGAAACGAAATCAATTCTAATTTACCGTCTCTCCCAGTTCAATCAACAGCACAACTCCAAGAATCCCAACCACGTTAACAACATCTATGAACAAATTATTTACAGAGTTTCATCGAGGGAGACTTCTTCTTCCTCCCACACCTTCGAGCTCACAGCTATGGCGCAGGCCTGAGCCCAACCTATCAAGCCCACTAATCGCCACCAACCCTTGTATCCCCAAACAGTCACTCAGCAGTTCAACCGCGATGCCCACTGCAGATGACGTGTCCGATCAGCAARGGAGGGAAGCTCCCTAGACGAAGAAGAAGCACAACAGCTCAATGAAGATGGTGACCTGCCACTTCGAAGCAGGCATGGAAAAGCTGCTTCGATGGCAGCTGTCAAAACCCCAACAGAACAGCGGTGGAGGAAGCATCTCACAAAGCAGGGCCTGATGCCCCGGGGCCGATTCCACACAAGCCAGGTAAACCCAGCTATGGCTGTCAGCTTCCCTTCCACGAGGAAGGAGGAGCAGCACTTGGAATTAACGCAGCTTCAGCAGCGACCTCCAGCAGCACTTCGTGGTGAAAAAAATAACGAACAGAACCCCTAAAACTTTGCCCTCGGTACTTTTGTTCATCTCCAGCCTCCCAGACCCGACAGCCTACAGCTTAGTTTTGCCTCTACAGCCTAGGACTGTATCTAGACAGAAAACAGCACCGGCTAGACAGAAAACAGCACCAGAGGGGAGAGGCCTACGTTCCTCCTACTGAAACAACCCAAAACAGCCCGAAGGGTCTATGACCAGCCAACAGAGACTGCTGCTGACAGGTCTAGGGATCGAGTCCAACAAGGCTCAAAATAAACAGGCAAACACAGCCAACAAGCAAACAAGCAGACAAACAGGTTGCGGGATCAAATCCCGAAGGACTCAAAACCAGGCAACATCAAACAAGGTTAGTGTACAGCTCGCATGCCACTGCAATTCATATCTTCATCCTCCCATTAATCCACCGGGTCCGATGGACCTGGGGGTGGAGAGCGAGGTTCCATTCTAGCCCCACCAGCAGCGTTAGATCTTGGCGCTGCACTTGCTTCCGGACCAGCTCCTCTGCCATCTTCTACCTCCATTCCTCTGTTCCTGTAATACTCGTCCAGGTTCGCTTCGAAAGGCTTCCTTAGCGTTTGTCTTTACTCCCAAATATCTTAAGACCCTACTATACGAGCTCCTTTGCGATGGCTATTTCACCACCTTCT